CCGTCTGCAGATTCAGTTCCTCTTCTCCAGCTGAGGACTCAGCAGAGCTGCTTTGCGGGGCAGGGGTCTAGTCCCAACACCCACTGAGCCTCCCTGAACCAGCACCTCCTGGGGGAACCCAGGGAGCCTTTCCCCCAGACTCCAAAACTGCCGGGGGCTGTGTGTGTGGGGAGGGGAGTGCAGGCCGGAGCAGGAGCCTGCCGTGCCCCCCACTCACTGACGCTGCTGGCCTGTGGCTTGTTTCACTTCTGTGGGGTGACGGTGCCCATCCCCCCCAAGCCCACTATGTGGCTCCCCAGAAAAATGCTTACAAAACAAACAGCATGAGCCTCTTTGGCAGAATGGCTGCGGCCTGGGGGTCAGAGACATAGAGTTACTTGCCCAGAGCCTGACCAAGAGTCCCTGGCCAGGGACAAAACAGCTGATGTCCCTTTCCTGCATGTCCCCTAGGCAGAGAAGTACGATGTTGAGGATAGAGCTTGTCATTGCATCCTCACACTCTCGAAAACCAGGAGCCACCGAAAGGCCTAACAACGTAGTCCTGTGACACAGACCCTGCACAAACTCCACAAAGAAGACATCAGAGTTTGGTCCCAAACATCTACTCCCCAGTGGGTGTGGCCTTGGTGTTGGCTGCAGCCAACGGCCCAGGCCTCCCCTGGTCAAAGGCAGGCATATGACCACAGCTCGACCAACTGGATTCTTCCCTGAGACTCTGAAACTAGCCAAGAGGGAAACAGCCAGTTGGTTTGGCCTGGAAGGGGCTTCCCTGCTTGCCCATCCCCTGCACCCCAAAGCCAAACTCATGAGCTCTGTCCATACAGGGGGTGCTTTAGAACCTTCCACCAGCTCCTTGGTGTGCCCTGTCACGTTTGGTACGTTTCTGTCACCTGCAGTCTCAGGATGCAGACTGCTACCATGGGATGCAGTTCAAGTATCAAGAACCCAGGACCATAGGCACAGTCCCAAATGCATGATGTTTAGAAGCAGGTGACAAAAGAGGCACACGGTGCAATTGTAGTTTTAAAGTGACATCCCCACCCAAGCGTAAGTGCACGGACAAACTCCAGCTGCAGGGGCTGTCTGTCTGCCTTCAGCTCTTTCCGGTTTCCCAAATGATCCATGAACACGCATAACGTTTATAAACTAGAAGAAAGGCAGTAAACGCTGATTTTTAACCACAGTAAATTTCCTTCTGATTAGTGGTAAGGGGGACGACAGGGCCAGCCTCACCCACAGGCCATGGCTGCTCGGCCACCAGCCTGTCGGATGCATGGCTGACCTTGATTAAGTCACATTAAACTAAGGTGCTGTGGTCTCTGCCAGGAGACCCCTAAGTGGTCTCCAATCCCCTCTAAGTGGCTGTCTTGCCTGGGCTGGCACACCTCCAGGCACAGAGTGCTCGCCTCCTGCCAAGGCCACAAGTTCAGAGCAGTGGGACTCCCTTATTTTGGCCCCAGACTCAGGCTTCTCTCTGCCTCAGGGCCTTTGCACATGCTATTCCCACTGCCTGTACAGTCTTCCCCAAGGTCTCTGCACACCTACCTCAGTCTTATCTTTAGGGTCTTGCTAGAAACATCTAAGCACTCAGGGCTCTAATGGGAAATGGGCCCACACACTTGGCAAACCTGAAGCGATGCTACCATCTGATGTGGAAGGTGGCCAGTGTGCCCAGTGCATGCCAGGCTCCAGGCAGGTCCCAGCCCTCTGGGCGCTCACAGCCCGGCTTGCAGCCTCCATGGAAGGCCAGGTAGCATCTCCTCCAGGAAGCTTCCCCTGACCACTGGGCTCCCGCAGGCCCTGTGCCGACCCCACCACAGCACTACACCAGGCCGTAACTGTTTTCCTCCATCAGCTCGCAGCTTCCAGAATCCCCTGAACTGGTGGAGACACTGAGCAAGAATGAGAGGCTGAAGGCAGAGAAAGTATGACCTCTGCTGGACTGTGGGGAGCCTTGAAGGGAGTCGTGAAGGGCTGGTAGGGGTTGAGGGAGTAGATCCCCCAAGTGAAGCCCAGAGAGGAAGATGGACCCACCCAAGGTCACACAGGTAGCAGGCAACAGCTAGGGCCAGGCCCAGCACACCGCCCTCAAGCACCCACACTCCAGCCTGAAAAGCAGGCTCTGGGACCCCTGCCCACAGCCAGGTCAGGCCCGACAGTCACCGCGGTGCGCCTCGGGTCCCCAGTCCCCAGGCCCAGCTTACCAGCTCAGCTGTGTGACCACCAGGGAGTCTCCTCCCCACTTTGGGCCTGCAATCCCTCCCCCCATAAAACTAGGGCCCCCCCACTTAGCTGCCCTGTGTTCAGGGAGCTCCAGGCATGCTGGCAATGGCCAAGCCCCAGGGAAGCCAGACCAACAGCCCCTCTTGGCAGACAGGCGGGGGGTGGAGCAGCCCCCAAAAGCCCCCAGAAGCCCCTTGCTTCCTCCAGCACCTCCCACACAGACCCCATCAGCCCCACAGAACCTGCAGTGTGCCCTCCCACAGCCTGTCACTCAGCAAAGATCACGGGCCCCCCACCAGGAGATGGGTACCATGGCCAGGGAGGCCCTCCTCTCTAGGACAAAGGCCTTGGGAAGCTGGGAGCCTGAGCGCCTGAGAGCCTCAGTCCCAAGAGAAATCGTAAATCTTTAGGAAGTGAAATCCCACCTCACTCTTGCAGAGGCTCCAAAGCCCCCTGTAGGGCCAGCCAGGCTCCGGGAGCCCTCAGAACAGCCCCCATCAGCTCCTAGTCCCTGCAGTTAATCCTCTGCAGAGGACCTAAGAAGCCCCTGACCACCCCACCTCGGGCTGACACTGGCTCTTAGTGGGACAGGGGACAAGGCCCGACCACACGCTCACTATGTGACTCTGAGCCTCAGTTTGCTAATCTGTATGATAGAAACAGTCATCCTTATCTCCCAGGCGTGTGTGAGAAAGGGCTCAGATGTGACAGATGCCCCACACAGGGCCGGCCTATGGGGCTTTCCAGTAGGTTTCACCAGGGCTCCCGACAGCGGGCGGTGGGGGCAGGAAATAGCAGAGAACAAAGCCTGGTCTCCCCATGCCACCAATTCCCCCACTCCTGCATCAGGCCTCACTTTTGCCCAGGAGGGCGAAGCCCCCACCCCAGCTGGGCCTAGCCCACAAGTTGGGGCTGGACACAGACAGGCTCCCAGGTCAGGGGGATGAGAGGTCCGCCACCCACCAGGGGGCCGGGGGCACAGCCTCTCCTCAGCGAGGAACGCTCCACCAGGGGGGGCGGGAAGGGGCGCTAGGCCATGGGCCACGCCGACCCAGAGCCCCCTCTGCTGTACACCCAACATGGAGCAGGAGCACGGGGCCCTCGCATCCCCACCAAAACCCTGCAGAGAAGTCATGCCAACCCAGGTTTCAGGATAAGGCAGTGACGGCTCAGCGAGGTTGAGGCACAGAGGGCAGAGGCAGGACGCATGCCCAGGTCTGGCTCACCCCACAGCCCACAGCCAGGAGCAGAGGTGGCGGGGGATGGAGACAGGCTGGTTTCCACACCGTGAATTATTCAGTGGCTAAGTCTGCTCCTGGGAGAGGAGGAGAGCGTGAGTCAGAGCCTTCCCAAGTGGAGGAGGGAACAGTGCTCATGGAGGCTGGGGCAGAAACCGGGGTCCTCCCAGGGGCAACGGCCCTGCAGGAGGCCAGGCTGTGCTGAGGGGTGCTGGAATCCCAGCTGGGGGACCCATGGAAGGACGGGCACCCCACAGGGCAGGAGAGACGCAGCCAGTCCAAGTGTGGCTGGCAGCATGGGCAGGTGGCAGCCCACGGGACGGCTGGGAAGCTCTGTGAGTGCCCCAGCGGCTGCCCTGGAGCTGTAGACCTGACAAGTGGCAGGGAACTTCCTCAAGTAAAGCCCAGCCTCCTGGCCTGTGGAAGCAGAGCCCCCGGAGACAGACACAGCAGAGCCAGCACACCAAGTTTCTGGGTAGCATAGAGGTGTTGCCCCCACACCGGTCGCCCCCCAGGGCTGGGCTTCTAGAACGTGGGTGTTGGGTTTTATAAAATCCTGCCATCTCTGGGCATGCCTGGGCCAATCCCTCGCCCCCTTTCTAATCTGCTCAGACACAGGTCAGCAAGGCTGGGGGAGCTGGCACCCCATGGGCATTGAGGCTGGGAGCCTGGGGCTTCCCTGCAGAGCTGGGGTGTCCACGGCATCCTCATCCTCTGCCTCTAGCTCTCCTCCGCGGATAAGGGGGGCCATGTGTGACACAGTCCCCGGAACGCTGGATGCCCAGGCCATCCTGACAAGCAAAGTCACTTCTGCCCCATCCCGGGGCTGTTCAATGATTGCCAGACAGAAAGAAGCCCAGAGCTGTTCCGAGGGACCAGGCGCCCAGGTCATGAGGCCGGTGCAGTCTGGATCCCACGCTGGGAGGAAATGCCCACAGCCTGGTCCCTTGCCTTGCATTCAAATGGCAGCGGCTCGGCAACAGGGGTGGCTCTGGGGTTTGGCACGACCCCAAGCTGAGGGCTCCACTGGGAGCGCATGGTCACTTGGGAAGAGGGCTGCAAGGGCCCTGCCAGCCCCTGGCTCAGCCCTGCTCAGGCCTTCCACACCGAGGCCCATCTGTGTCCCTGTGGCCGGGCCTGCTCCCTCAGGGGCCACTGGCAGCCCGTCCCGGCAGGACAGGTGTCCCCACAGCCTACACGGCACTGAACACACACTCCCCAGCCTCGCAGCCCGGCAGGTCTCAGAGCCGTGGGGTCCTGGGAAAGGCGCTGCGCCGGGCAGCAGCCCCTCCGTGATGGACAGGGGCCCGGGCGGGAGCTGGCAGCCGGCGAGGGGGCTCCATGGAACCCCAGAAAACAGGGCCTTGGTGACACCGGAAGAGAAGGCTGGAATCTGCAGGAGGGCGGCGGGCCCTTGATGGGGGAGTGGGGGGTCCACAGGCTGTGAAAAAGGGTAGGCTCATGACCCAGGAGAGGACCCTCGAGAGGGAGGGGGGCCGTGACCCGGGGCCCTGACCCCCGACCCGGGGCCCGCGTCACCTGCTGGTAGTCGGTGTCCTCGGGCCGGAACTGGCTACTGGTGGTCTCCCAGCGCAGGTCCAAGTGCGGGAGCCGGTGCAGGAGGTTCACCCACCAGGGCGCCGCGTAGCTGACCCCGGCCATGGCGGGCCGGCCGCCTCGGGCGCGCGGCCACGGCGGGGCTCCTCGCTGCCAGGGGCGCCGGGTTCAGGGGCCCGCCGACCCCGGCCTGGACGCCCGCATCGTCCGCGCGCTCCTGGGCCCGGCCCGGCCCG